AACGCAAACGCAAACGCAAACGCAAATGCAAACGCAAACGCAAACGCAAACACAAACACAAACACAAACACACACCCCAGTTTTTTGCAAAAGTCTTACAAAGACCTGGGTTGTCCTTGCGCACTCTTGCGCCCGGCCTTGCGAACCTGGAGTGGCAAAGGAAAAACTCGCGTCTGTATATAGTAATCAGCCAAGGGTACTTGGAGGATCATGGGACGTAGTAAGTAAGGTTATAAGTACCCTAATTGGGGTTATAATTACAGTTACCTTATTTCTAACCCTAGTTACTGAGTCCCATGATCCTCCGAGTAGATGGAGGTCCAGGTAAGGTTTTTTCTAGAAGGCTCAGACTGGGGAGGCGGAGTTCCAGGACACGGCATCTGCGCATCCCAGAGACTCCAATATCCCGTAATTAAGGAATATACTTGGGTTTAGGGTTTAGGGTTTAGGGTCTAGGGTTTAGGGTTTAGGGTTTAGGGTTTAGGCCTTAAGTTATAGTAGGATCGTTCATATGATTAAGGTATATTCCTTAATTAAGGGATATTGGAGTCTCTGAGATTTGAGGCCAATATGCCCAACGAGGATCGCACCGTGGAGGAGCTGGGAGTAGTTTTCAGCTTCAGAAGGGACTTGAGCAGGAGTTTAGGGTTTAGGTTTAAGGTTTGAGCTGTGCCCTGAGGCTGGAAACTCGCCAAAAGCATGACAGTCTGAGAGGGTGATTGAACGAGGGTGGAAAGCTCAGCTGACGTCTTCCTTGCCGCCAAAATCACCTGTCTACGCTTGCCGTAGTCTTGGATGGCCTAAATTTGGGGCCTTAGTAATCAGAAGAGGGTTTTGGGGTCCATTATACTCTAAATATAGTAAGGAACCCCCAAAATAGTGTAGTTACAAATTTAGGCCCTAAACTCTAAACCCTCGAACCCCTAAACCCTAAACCCTAAACCCTAAACCCTAAACCCAAAACCCCTAAACCCTAAACCCCAAACTACCTTCCAGAGGAGAATGTTCTCCACTGCCAGTCGCGCTGTGCTAAGACGGCGGGCTGCGCTCACTTCACGCTGCTCGGCACGGCAAGTTCGTCGGCCTCAGAAGCCGAAAGAGCCCAGAGAGCCCAATGCCCCGTAATTAAGGGTATAGGGTTTAGGGTTTAGGGGAGGAATATACCGCAAATCATAATAGTAAGGCCCCTACAATTTAAGGTATATTCCTTTTTTTAAGGGGTATTGGGCTCTGTGGGAGTCGGCCCAACCTACCGTCTCCATGGTAGTTCCCTTTATGGGGGTTTCAGAAAATAGGGGACCCCAATATAGCACCCTAAATAATAGGATCCTTATTATAAGGACCCCAAAATAAGGTACCCCTAATTTTCGGAAACCCCCTTATTTGGCTTAATCAACTTCCATAAGTGGGATTCTCTGCAACTCAGGCTGTAGGAAGAGTCTAGGACGCTTTCAGGTGGGCAGTTACCGTTATAGGAGCCTTGTAGAAGTCTATAGACCTTCTGGAAGCCCTATAGAAGCCCTATCTACCCTAAACTCCCCACCTCTAGTTGTCCTTAATGTAGGAACCCTAAACCCTAAACCCTATATACCCTAAACTCACCACCTCTAGTTTTCCTTAATGTAGGAACCCTAAGCCCTAAACCCTAAACCCTAAACCCTATATACCCTAAACTCCCCACCTCTAGTTTTCCTTAATGTAGGAACCCTAAGCCCTAAACCCTAAACCCTAAACCCTATATACCCTAAACTCCCCACCTCTAGTTTTCCTAAAATGTAGGAAGAGCAGAAAGCCCGCATTGCCCAGGTATTGGCCAAATCGTGGCTGCCACCTTCAGAGCATGGAGGCCGCCTTTGGGGCCTTTGGGGTTTAGGGTCATAGGGCCTTTAGGGTTTAGGGTCTAGGGTTTTTAGGGTCATAGAGCCTTTAGGGTTTAGGGTCTAGGGTTTTTAGGGTCATAGAGCCTTTAGGGTTGAGGGTCTAGGGTTTTTAGGGTCATAG